CGAACCCGACGGTTCTTCTCAAGTTAAATACCCGAACGGGTATCTGAATTAAAAATCGATGGGTACGATTCGGTTCTCGGTTTTAGACCAAGAACCGAAGAACCGAATAAGAACCGAATATTCCTAATTTTTATTTTTTTATATTGAATAAATCAAATTATTTTAATTTTTTCTAAACAAATTAACAAATTAGGTGATTAATTGATACTTTATCTCCTAAGCCTTAGCCTAGCAAGCTTGACCTAACCCAACCAATTTCTAAATCCAATTTTTTGGCCCAATTATTTGTTTCATTTCTATTTTTTTAATTTTTAGCCCAAGTGTCATTTTTAGTTTTTATTCTTCCATTTTTTAGCCCAACATCCAAGTGATCCAACCCACTAGTGACTAACCCTAAATAAATTACACACATTATCACCTACACATAAAACATCTGACATTCCAAAACTCAAATAGATGTATAGAACCTCCGGCACCGAGTTCGAAGCTATGACCTCCGAGCTCCGATGACGACCTTCGACCGTTGATTATTTGAATAAGGTAGTGTGTAAGCTTCCCTATATGTGATTGGTAAATTAATCTTGTTGGAAAACTTGTTATATACATGTCAAATTGGATTACGTTAATTTATAAAATTACGATTAAATATGTTATTAGTTGTATTTATGTAGTGTGGTTATAAATGTTAAAAATTTTAATTATAGTACAGAACCGAACAAAACTGAATCCGAACGGTTCCATAATTATATTTGGACCCGACGGTTCTATTTTCTAAATACCCAAAATTTTTGGTTCGGTTCTCTTTAAAACCGAACTGAACCGACCCACGCCCAGACCTACCCACTACCCTTTATCAATGGGACCAGGTCTGGGGTAGATGATGATGATATGCTTTCCTTTTATTTTCTTTCTTTCCTTCCTTCCTTCCTCTTTTTATTTTTTTTATTAAAGTGGACTTAACGACACTGTCAAGAAATGAAGTTTGAGGCATAAGTGCATAAGGAGTTAAAGATTGAGGATGTGCTCACAATTTTCCAATATTAGAAAGAAAATTACCAAAACACATTTTGCCTAGAATTAGGCTAGTTGTACACCATGGTAGTTTGAAACTTTTGAAGCGTCAAAATCAAGATCATTAATTTGAATAAGTATTGTTAAAGTCAATGTAAAATTGTTTGTCACATCAAAGAGTACAAACTAGTTGTGAACCATGGTGTAAGTGTAGCAAAACTATCTTGTTTATGCCATTTTCTTGACTACCGTTAAGAAAAATTCTTTTTCAGTGTTGAAATGTGACAAGACATTGTAGGAACTATATGGTCCACCATGTGAACTCCACTGATTGTGCCCCATGAGAGTTTACTTACGGACTGCTCTAAGCCCAACATGATAAATATACTACATTGTGTAATAAATTTACTTATTTTAAGAAATATAAATTTTTAAGTAACTTTCGTTACTTAAAATTATTTTCATAGATAGATAACTTTAAACACAACAAAAGAGCATTTCCTCTTGGCTCATGAGAAAGACCAATGGTTTTAGCTTTTCGTCTGGCTAAACAAATCTATAAAAATATGAGATCAGTTAGGCCCTTATTAAGCCGAGTTACGAACAAATTTTTTTTTTTTTCAAAATTAGTTTTAAAATAAATAAAATTTATCTTTTGTATATAGGTGGTAGTGGACCATGAGCCTCTACCTAAGTCCAAGTGGTGTGATCTCGAGCCTTGGCGGCTAGGTGCACATTTATTTTTCTAGTTTTGAATCATCCGTATAGTAATTAATTCACATGCAGATGCTTAGTTATATGCGGACAAGATGATCCTCCATTAATTTACACAAATGGAACGATTCCAACCATTCAAAACCTGTGCTATTTGATGATGATATTAAATGGTGCTAAAAAATGTCATTTCATATGTGAATCTATTCATAGATCTTATCTACACAACTAACACATCATAATCAATGACTGTCATTACAATATTGCGTGACAAATTATCGAACTTTCACATAACATTATTTAGGAAATCTTTCTTTTGACTTTATGTTTCATTGTAATAATATAAAGATCTCATGAATCCATTTCGAAAATAGAACATGACTTCAATTCAATTTGGCAATTTATACTAATCTATCTTTTAATTTGAGGAATTTCCTTTATATTTTCTTGCTTAACATAAATATACTTTGCATTTTTAATTTCCAGCCTATTTCAGTATTTTAATTTTGTGATTGTCATCAACAATGAAACGAATACTAGTTTTATTGAAACAATCTTTCATGCCTAATTAATTTAATCCTTGAGCAATAAAAATCATATTTCTTTTGGAATTTATGGTTGGAATGTGAAATAAGAATCACCCGAAAAATAAAAATAAAATCAATTTAAGAAATCAAGATCGTTACTGGATGTTTACATGTAAATTTAATCAATAAATAAAAAATATCTAAAATTTACCCAAATTCGATAATTAATTCTTAAATTAGATATGAATATCGAAATTTCAGTCTTTTGAATTGTGAAATTTCAATTTTGATTCCAATAATTTAATGCTTCCAAGTTTCAAGCCTTCTATTCATCAAAATCAAGATTACACTAGTGTGTGGACATCTTCTTTTAATTACACCAAAAATTAAATTATAGACCTTAGAAAAATCACTTCAATCCATATAAACTTTTGGTAAAAGTTTAAAATGTCTACTCAATAAATCTTAATGTCTCTTATGATTTTTATAGTGCTATGTTGATTTCTAAAGGAAGTACTATTTCATGTTTGACAATACATCATTTTCACAACTAACACCAACAATTTTATTTAATTTCTAAATTAAAAAAGGAGATGCTATTTACATCCACCATTATTATATTTATCTACTTTCAAAAAGAAAATTATATTATACTTTTAACCTTATGTAAATTTACTTAAATATCATTATAAAATCAAATAAAAATATATTAGTCTAAATTTATCTACTAATATTTATTTTCATTAAATTCTTCTGGACTTTTTATATTCTTTTAAATTTATGTTTAAATAAAATTCTAATATTTATAAAATATCCTCTTCGACTATAGTCAAAACAACAATGAAAGACACATCATAAGGGCAAATGCATATAGACATAACAATATATGAAAAAAGAATTTGAAAAAGTAGGATTGCCTTTCATTGTAAGCATAATGAATTTAGTATGTGAACAATTCTTAATTTTTGTTTGGATTTTTGATAATATGCATTTTAAACTCAAGTTGTATCAGTAAGAAATTTTATTACAAATTATTTTAGTTTCCTGTTGAGATTATCATTTTTTCTCTAAATTTTTTGAATTAAAAATATTGATAGCTATATTTTCTACTGGGATTAGTAAAACAAGAATTTGAGTTTCCTGCAGGGATTATCTCTTTCTTTTTTTCCCCTTTCTTTCTTTCCCCTTTCTTTCTTTCTTTCTTGATTTTCTTAAATTTAAAGCAATGGTGATTGATCTATTGGTATTATAGGGGTTTATGTAATCACATCTTATAATTCTTGATTTATATAATTAATTACAAACACGTCCTTTAACTCTTATTTTATCCTTCATTGGAAAAGGGCATTGTGGTAAAATGTTATAAATTATATAATGATTACTGGGAAAAAAAGGACCTACCTACAGTAATACAACAGTCAAATTTTGGATTAAAATCATGGCAAAATCCATCCTAGACCAATGCATAGTGTTTAATTCTGTGGATTTATAAGGGCAATTTTGAAATATAGTGCTTGTTTGGTAGGGAATTTTGATAATATATATATGTTCCGTTTGAGAGTGATTTTTCACCCCAAAAATATGATTTTTTTATTGTTATTTTACTATTCCAACCATAATTTTTTACTTCTTTTTTCACAGGTGGCTTCCACTTTTTTCGTAAGGATTAAAAAATCAATTTTCAAAATCACTACTGAATATGCCTATAGAGTGTAATAAATATATATCTAATAATGAGAGAGTAAATAGCGGCTCTATAAAAACTATGACTCTTTGAACGAACATATATTATTGAATGACAAATAAAGTACTATAAGTTACAAGATTATTCCAAAAAATGTGAGACTCTAGTTGCACAATTTGAATAAAATTCCAGCAACAGTGACATTAACTTTGAAAGGGACTCAATTTTTTTTTTTTTTTTTTTCATAACTCTGTGAGGTGACACACTTTTTTATCCTTAATTTCAACGACACTTAAAATAATTCATGACATATATTTTTATATATCATACAATGTCAACCTTAATGTATGCATAGTTGATAAAATATACAAATAGCATTTTCCTTTGAATAAATGCGTAAATAAATATTTTCCAAATAATTATTCCAAAAAGGATTAGTCAAAATAAATTGAGATTGTGGTTGCACGATTTTGGATGTTTGGACTTCCTGAATAATTGTAAAAATGCTAAGTTAATTCGAAGAGCTTTGCTGGGCCACACAATCCATTGTTATTGATCAGTTTCACTGTTGCCTTCATCGTGTTCTTTGACCCCACCAAGTTGATTAATTGAACCAATGAAATTTCTGTGTTCATTGACCCCACCATTTTGTATAATTGAACCCAACCACTGTTGGGTTCAATTATTGATCAGTTTGCTGGGCCAGATGGATGCTTGGGTTCAATTATTGATCAGAGACAATCCATTGTTATTGATCAGTTTCACTGTTGCGATCATCGTGTTCTTTGACCCCACCATGTTGATTAATTGAAACCAATGAAATTTCTCCGTGTTCATTGACCCCACCATTTTGTATAATTGAACCCAACCACTGTTGGGTTCAATTATTGATCAGTTTGCGGGGCCACACAATCTATTGTTATTGATCAGTTTCACTGTTGCCTTCATCGTGTTCTTTGACCCCACCATGTTGATTAATTGAACCAATGAAATTTCTCCGTGTTCATTGACCCCACCATGTTGTATAATTGAACCCAACCACCAGCAGACGACTTTCATATATACATAATACCAGTCAATCTCACTTGCATTCATCCCCCTTATATCTTGGCTCTTGCTTCCTGTCTTACGAAAAAGATAACAATGGCTATCGTCGAAGTTTTTCTAGGTGCAATTCTCACTGTTTTGCTTGAAAAGCTGGCCTCTGGTGAGCTACTGAAATTTCTGCGTCATGTAGGAATCGACGCCCAGCTGGTAGAATTGAAGACAACTTTGATGAGGATCCAGGCTGTGCTTACTGATGCTGAAAACAAGCAAACAACGGACAAACATGTGAAAGAGTGGCTAAATGATCTGGAAGATTTGGCTCATGATCTTGAAGACTTAGTGGATGAGTTGAATACTGAAGCTTTGCAGCGCAAATTAAAGGAAAATAAAGGCAGCACCAGTAAGGTAAAAAAGCTCGTCCCCACTTGTTGTACTAATCTTTCTTTCACTGATTTCATGTCTGATCGTGGGATTGCTTCCAAGCTAAGAGAGATTAGTGGCCGGTTGAAAGTTCTGGAAGAACAGAAAAAAATTCTCGATTTGGTGGAAAATGTAAGGGGAAGGTCTTATAGAAGATTGCCAACAACTTCGCTTGTGGTAGAATCGAAAGTTTATGGAAGAGAGAATGACAAGGAGGAAATACTGAAAATCTTATTTGGTGTTGAATCAAACGATAGTCAAATATCCGTGATTCCAATTGTGGGCATGGGAGGTATCGGCAAAACAACTCTAGTCCAACTTGTGTATAATGATGAAAGATTGAAGGACAAGTTTGATCTTAAGGGATGGGCTTGCGTTTCAGATGAATTTGATGCTGTAAGAGTAACAAAAAACATTCTTGAGTCAGTTTCTTCTGGTGGAAAGTGTGACTATGAAAATTTTGACACGCTTCAGAACAAACTAAAGGAGATCCTTTCAAACAAGAAATTTCTAGTAGTTTTAGATGATATTTGGAATGAAAATTACGAAGATTGGGAGATCCTAAGCCGTCCTTTTCTTTCTGGAAAACCTGGAAGCACAATCATCATTACCACTCGACAAGAAAGGGTGGCCAAAATCATGTCTGGAATTCCAGCATACAATCTGGATCTGTTATCAGAGGGCGATGCTTTATCATTGCTAGCTCAACATGCATTTGGAGCTAAAACTTTTGACGGTCATCCAGATTTAATAGAGATTGGTAAGTCTATGGTAAGCAGATGTAAGATGTTGCCCCTAGCAGTAAAGGCCCTCGGGGGGCTTCTTCGCATCATGGCAGTTGGTCCTGAAGATTGGGAAGAGGTGCTGAAAAGTGGGATCTGGATGAATGAAGAAAAGAGTGAAATTCTTCCTGCTCTAAAACTGAGTTATCACCATCTTCCTCCGGAATTGAAAAGATGCTTTGCTTACTGTGCTCTCTTTCCCAAGGACTATGAATTTGACAAGTTCCAACTAGTGTACTTTTGGATGGCTGAAGGTCTTTTGCAGGAAACAAAGAAAGATAAGTTAATTGAAGATGTAGGTAGTGAATATTTTGATGAACTATTGGCTAGATCATTCTTCCAACAATCAAGTGCCAATGCTTCACGCTTTGTGATGCACGACCTCTTTAACGATCTAGCTATGTCTGTTGCTGGTGATAAATGTTTGAGGATGGATGATGCACTGCAGGAGATTTCTGTAAAGGTCCGTCACTTGTCATTCAAGCGCAGTTGGTATGAAACTTATCCTAGATTTAACTTTCTTGACAAAGTTCAAAAGTTGAGAACTTTTTTGCCACTACCTGTTGAGTCATTTGGTTACTTATCCCAAAGAATTTTGCATCACCTATTCACGAATTCATACTGCTTAAGAGTGCTATCCTTGAATGGTTATGCCATATATGAGTTGCCAGATTCTATTGGTGATTTAAGACATTTAAGATACCTGGGCCTAGCTGACACTGGACTGAGGTGGTTGCCTGAATCTGTGTGCACTCTTATCAATTTACAAGTGTTGATTCTAAGTGGTTGTTGGAGCCTTACCAAATTACCCACAAGCATGGAAAATCTTGTTAAACTTCGGTATCTGGACATTTCTCGTACTTCCAATTTACATGAGATGCCTCGGGGAATTGGTCAACTAACAAGTTTGCGAACGTTAACTAAGATGACTGCAAGTAAAAATAATGGAATGAGTTTAAAGGAGTTGGGCAATCTATCATTTCTACAAGGTAATATTTCTATTGAGGAATTGCAAAATGTTGTGAATGTTCAAGAAGCAGTGGAAGCAAGGCTAATGGATAAGCCAAACCTCAACGGATTAACGTTGGAATGGAGCGCAGGCTTTGATGATACTCGAAATAAAATTTTAGAATTGAATGTGTTTAATGCATTAAAGCCCCATAAGAACTTATCAACACTTGAAATCAAGTATCACGGGGGTGAGAATTTCTCTAATTGGATTGAAGATTCAGCATTTTTTAAGTTAGCAAGGATAAGCTTTGAAAATTGTAAAAATTGCACGACTTTGCCACCTTTAGGGCAACTACCTTTGCTAAGAGACTTAAGCATTCAAGGCATTGATCAAGTAAAAGTGATTGGACCTGAATTTTATGGAAATAGAGGCCATGGAGAATTACCTTTTCCATCACTCATTAATCTGACTTTTAGTGGCATGTCTAACTGGGAGGAATGGGTTGGAATAGGAGGTGTTATCCAACTTCCTAAGCTATGCTCATTGATTATAACTGATTGTTCAAAATTGGTCAGTCTTCCAAATCTTTTACTGTCATCCTTACGTGACATAAATGCTTCTGGGTGTAATGAGGTGGTGCTAAATCATATGCAGAATTTGAAATCTTTAACCAGCATACAATTGTCTAGAATTGTTGGATTAACTTCAATTATCAAAGCATTTGAACAATTTCCTTTTACACTTAAAAGTGTTAAAGTTGGTGAATGCCACAACCTTAAGACTCTATGGTCAGGTGATAGTACTGCACGAGACCTAGTCGACCTACGACACGTGGATATTGACAGTTGTCCTCAGCTATTTTCCCTTAAAGAGATTGATGTTCTTCCCGATCTTAGGAGACTTTGTATAAGAAATTGTGGAGCTCTGGAGTTGTTGCCTAATAAAATATCTTGTCTTGAGAATTTGTTTATTGAAAATTGTCCATTGGTAAGGACGATGATGAAGCTACAGGATTGCAGCCTCTCGCTTGATTATCTAAATATTACTCGTGTGAATTTGAATTTGGCAAATTTACTAGGCTCTGGCTCCAATTACCAAAGTCTCACTGACCTACACATAAGGTCTTGTGATGGTCTAGAATTGTTTCCCAATGGAGGCTTGCCCACACCAAATTTAAAACGACTGTGGATAAGAGAGTGTCAACATCTCAAGTCCTTACCTGATCGGATGGATCTACTTTCGTCCCTTTCGTCACTGTGGATAAATAAGTGTCAACATCTCAAGTCCTTACCTGATCGGATGGATCTACTATCGTCCCTTTCGTCCCTGGATGTGTCTTCTTGTGCTTCATTAATGGAACTCTTTCCCCAAGAGAATATTCCTCCAAATCTGTCTAGCCTTGAAATCAGAAATTGCGGAAAACTAAAGCCCCCGGGGGAGTGGGGCCTACACAAACTCACCTCTCTTAATCACTTTTCATTTGTTGGATGTCTAGAGCTGGTTTCCTTCACTAACAATGCTGACGAAGAACACTGTATGCTTCCTCCATCTCTAACATCTTTGTCGTTGGATGACCTGCCGAATCTCGAAACACTATCAAGGGGCTTCCAAAGCCTCACCTTTCTTCAACATTTATGGATCTCTGAATGCCCAAAGCTTGAGGCGTTGCCTATGGGAGACTACCTTGAAAAGCTTTTGAGCCTCGGCATTCAAGGCTGCCCACTTCTTAAGAAACGGTGTTTGAAGAACAAAGGAGACTACTGGCCCATCATTGCTGACATTCCGCTCGTCGAAATTGATTCCCGATCCATCTATGATCCATGTCCATGAATTCAATTACACGAGGTAACAGATTTAATTTGATACCTATGAATCTCAACATCATTTCATGCAAAACACTTCTCGACATTTCTGTCAATTTTGTTTTCAAATCAGAATGTGAATTTTCTGCAGCCAATAGTGGATCTCCCTTTCTGCAATAGCTATTCAAGTGTTCATGCCACTCTGTATCTTATATTTGTGCTTCTGCTCTGCAGTATAAATCAATATCAGAGCCGATGTACCAACAATCAAGTAACTGATCGGCTATGGAGCTAAAATTAGCCTCTTTTTGTACTAACAGTAAAATTCTATCAAATAGATAAAATCGGAGTGATAATTGTTAGTCGAATGTGGTTAAATTATTAATATTTTGATTCGATCTGCTTTAGCAAACTGGAAATGCATTGATTTGACTTACTGTATGTTTATGCATTTTTGGGTTTTTATGTGGCATGCGTTTTTAAACTTTTCTTGTAGATTGGAGGTTCCTACGCCATTTGAATGGAACTAATAAAAATGACATCGTTTTGGTGTAGGCATTTTCTGATTACTTGTAAGAACACAAGATGGAATGAATGTGTCTCTTCATTAGACCTTCAAGTAAGTTTTTTGTTCGAATCTTTTGCGTTTTAAGTGTTTGTATAAATTCCTCAGTGAAATTATATGGCAGGATTTGTGACTGAAGCTATGTTCTTGCCTTTTTTTTTTTTTTATTATTATTATTATTATTTTTTTTATTTATTTTATTTTTTTTTTCTGAATAATTCTTTGAATGAACTTTTCCTTTTGGGGGTTCCCTTCTATAAAGGTCAAGAAATCTGTTTAGTCTGTGAAAATTGTCTTGACTGGCCAACAATCCTTTCTCGTGTGATTTTGGTGTGGTTTAAGGTATGAGGTACCTTGTTTTACAATTGCTATTTTAAAAATTTTCTTGATTTTATTAGATTAACCTCTGCCGATTGTGTATTACATTCATCCGTATGAATTGGATGTTTTAATCCAATCTGAAGATTTGAATCATTGCTTCACAATTTCATGCAATTAAATTAAGAAACCGATTAATTTTTTATGTGAATGCTTTTTAATCGAAAACTCTATTTCAATTTGGAAAGTTCAATCATTTTATGTTTGCAGTTATACCTCTTGTTGGTATGCATTTTTTTAATGTTATTAATTCATTCTAATTCTTACTTTGAATTTTCACTTTCGTATTTATTAATTTTTTTTTGGTCAATATTTTAAAAAATGATTGATAATATTGAATTATCCTAACCTTCTATAACATAATAAATTGATGTACTAATTTGTTAAATTCAATTATTCAGTATTCTGTTTCTTAATTTAGTTGATCAAGTAGGTTATTTATTTTTTTATCCTAATCTGGAATATATGTGCCCAGAATGTTGCTGTGAGCATATTGCCTGTCAAGAAGAATCGTTTGAGTTGAGGACGATAAGATGTTACATTTTTTAGCTACGCTGTTTTTCAGCTCACTTGAACTCAGAACGATTTTAATTTTTTGAATTAATTCAGTTTCCTTCAGCTGATGAATTATTGCAGTATCTGTATGAGTTTGTGTGGTTATTTCATATTTGCCTGTGATTTTGTATTAATCATTTGAGTCGAAATCCTGAATTGGGTTTATAATCATTTTTTGGACTCAAATTGCTGATTTTAAGATGTGTTTTTATGGTAAACTAATTGCTGATGTCAATATTCTTTTCATTAGTTTTGGGTTGATTAGTTAATAAGTTCTTCTGTATTTTACTGTTTGGGGATTTCAGCATGTGTTTGATTAATTGGTTCTATTCTTTTTTATATGGTATGTACTGACTTCAATTTGGCAATTTCTTGGGGATATCTTTTTTATCAAATTGTATTTTCGTGGAGTTCAACAGTGAAAATGTGAAATATGTCCAATTATTTGAATTTTTGTTGATATTTTGAAATTGATATTATGTATTGATGAGCCATCAAGTTAAAATTAAAAAGAATTCCAAGTTGCAAATGCTATTTGGAAGTTGAATTTGCTCTGCTAGGTTGCAGAGTATACTTGAATTTATTTTATCAAAAGATGAATATTTATCATCTCTTAGTTTCCCCTTCTTTGTCATATATCTTTACGAAATTGTTGTAGAAATATTTAGATGATAATTGGATTGTGTTGATAATGTACTTGGAAGATCATACGAGGAATTTCAGGAAAAAAAGGGTTTGTTGCTTGTGTCCATTTTATTTAAGGTGTCCGGAAAAAAATGTTAAGAGTGTGGAAAGTATATCCATCCTTGTGCGTTTGGGTCTGTTATTCATATTGATAGTTGACATTCCATGTGAGGAAGCATATTTCACATAAAACATATATTCACTTTGTGTTGTTAGGTAACTATTGTAGCTTTGCACATCTGCTTTCGTAATGGTTTATTGTTGCACATTTTATAGGCTAATGTTGCTAGAAGAAATCGAATTTCTTTCCGTTCAAATGATGGAATGATGATTGATGGCGTTAAAGATTACTCTCACCTGGTTGCTGAAATGATATGATTGTCGTAAGTTTTAACTTACTATGAATGCTTTTAGTTTTCGTCGACTGCAACTCTATTATGTATTTTGAGCCGAATATTTTTAAATAACAGCATCAACATAATTAAATTTATTTTACTCTTGAAACGACAAATATGTTTCCTCTTCCTTTTTGATGAAAGTTAAATCACAATAGATTTGTCTTTTATATGAAGATTTTCTTCTTCTGAATTGCTGTTGCGCACTGTACTTGATATTGGTTGCGGGTCTGGTAGTTTTAGTGCTCGTCTTCTATCGCTTAAGCTGATGTGTGACAGCATATGAGCCAACAGGTAGACATGTTCAATTGGCAATTGATAGAGGTCTCCCTTCAATCACAACTTAATCTAAAGACAGCTCCCTCTTCATCCTTGTCATAAGAAGTGGTTCACTGCACTCACTGTAGCAATGGTCTGGGATAACAAAGGTATGATCCTCATTAAGTTTTGGGGTTTTGTTTTTTTCCATTAAATCACCATTTCTTCATCAGATTAAGTGCAGTGATTTTTATTGATTTTTCACCGATGAAAATACTTGAAAATAATTTGACATTTAGCCTAATGTATTGCGAACATTCTGTGGTATTTGTTATTTTTTGCATGCATTTCTATTTCTTTTTTGTTTATCACATTTTCTTTGATGCTATAGTTATCTGTGATAAATTTTGCAATGGTAATATTAGGCTTGCTGTAAGGAAGGAAAAGAAAGCGAATGATCCAAACAAGCCAAAGAGACCTCCAAGTGCTTTCTTTGTTTTCACGTATGCCCATTTGCATTTTTGGTCTCTATCCTTTCTGTCTATTGTTCTTATATATAACCTTTTTTATGCCGCTTGGCAGACTACAATAATAATTTGGTAATCCATCTATGAGAAACACAGTGTTATACACAGTTTAGTTTGAATTGTGATACTGAAACGACTTGTGCCGAACTGTTTTTATAGGCTAGAGGGGTTGATGAATTCGACAAGGCAAAGTCTGAGGTTAATGGTGATGAGGACAATGAGAACAGTGGAGACGTTAGTTGAAATTAAGCTATACAACTTTTTTGTACTTGAAACTTAGCTACTATGCTGACTTTTTATTTTGTTTTAATTAATTTAGGCGGAAGACGATGAGTAAGCACTATCACGGAAAACTGGATTTTGGATTCAAGGTGAGAACCAACAATCAATCTTCCTTCATTATTTGCATTTATGGCTTCAGGTTTTGTAAAATGTTCGATTTGAAAGTGAGTTAATTGGATTGGTAGATTTCATGAAGAATTATTGTGTAAAATTTGGCTTCAGGTGAATTTTACTGAAATTAATTGAAAGTAATTATCAATAATACTCCTTTTTTAATTTTTATTTTTTAAAGTTGCTAATGTGTTTGTTCTTCCTTTCAGTGAGGGAACAAGCGTCTCTTTGCCATTAACTTGGGGCAAAAAAAGAGAGGAAACGTATGCCTTGTTTTTCATTATTGCCTATTGGTACACAAGACGTATTTAGAGGAAAGGGGTGGAGGAAGAGGGGGTTGAGTGCTTGTAGACCATGAGCAAAAAATGGCAGACTACAATAAGAATTTGGTAATTTCATCTATGAAATTCTCTATTACAATGCACTACGTGCATCTCACATGCGAAGAACTAGTTCGATAAATATTCAATATTTTGCAGCAAGCTTCATATCTTGTTAAATTTTGAAGGTCCTTCCTTTTGTGAAATCATTTAAGTTAAAAATGTTAAGAGAGAAAAACATTAATTTATTAATATCTTCAAAACTCTTCTTATGGTGCAGGTAGATTTAATTTTTCTATAAACATTAAATTTCTGACTTTGATGGGGATGATGTTATTATTTTACAGATTTTCATCTGGTCGTCCATTACCAATACAATTTCGAGACTCGATTTGATTAGAGACTAATAGCTCAGTCATCTACCAGGTCAAGAAAGTTATTAATTGGGTTAGTTGCTGTAAGCTTGTGGGCTGACCACCTATATGCCTGCTTTGCATATATTTCGATGCCAGCTCCAATCCACATCATTTGATGACGTGTTGTTTACACCAAATTTGACTTGTACACAATATCTGTTATTACGAGAGTTAGAGAGAGAGGCCAATTCAAACCATCATTTGGTGACACATTTTTTAAGAGCAATCGTGGAACCTATATTTGTT